TCGAAGGAACCCAAAGCATCATGAAATTTGCGACTTATGAAAATTAGTTGCATCCAACATATAGCAAAAATACATATCAAACACATTTTTTCCTTGGTTGCAACTATTAAAGATGGCTATTTCCTTTCTGATAATAGTTCATAGACTGATAGACATATCTACCAATCCGTCTCTGTTAGTTAGGCAACATAGGCTGCGTTCTTTCCACAAGTTTCCCAACCCCTTTCCCTCGTTTTCCGCATGCACGCTTTTCAAACTGCTAAATGGTGTGTTTTTTTGCAAAAAGTTTCTATACGAAAGTTGCTTTAAAAAAACAAATTAATCCATTTTTGAAAAAAAATTAACTAATACTTAATTAATCACACGCTAATGGACCGCTCCGTTTTCCGTGCGGTGGAGTTGGGTTCCCAACCCCAAGTATCAAACACAGCCTATATAGTAGTGTTTGCACTCCTTTTTTAATAAAATTTTAACATTTAATCTGAAAAGAAAAGGTCAAGAGGTACTAAGCTAAGAATAAAAGCAGTTTATGAGATTAGTACCAACAAAATCCCAGTGGAAAGCAACTGGGAACTTTAATTTTGGGATTGGGTCAGCAGGAATCTCTGTGATTATGATCTAGTAATACAAGCAACTACTACTCATTATGAGCAATCTTGAGCTAAGTACTAGTTCTGTATGACCAGTAGAATTGGCATCTCAAATACTGTCACGCCCCGAACTAGTCCCGACCGAAACTAGCCCGTGACGCTCCAAATTAACCTGTTAATCGATACCAGTCCCAGGAAATAGTGCTGGTATCACAAGAAGACAGAATATCACAGCAACAGAGGTCTCTTTATTATAGAGTAGGAGTACAGTCATATTGGGCTACGGACAGATTCCGAGCTCACAACTGCATTACAAAAGGGGAACGGAAGCCAAGACTTGGACCAAACATCACAGGCGAGACTTGGGAACTAGGCCGAAACCCTAAAACTCATCGTAGCCGGCTTGCTCCTGGAAGAACTCCTCGTCAGCGGGATCCGCTTCATCTTCTTCAGCAATTGGGGGGATTATTTATATAGAGCAAGGGTGAGTACGGGAGTACTCAGCAAGCCATGGGAAATAAGTGTTTAATGCAGGCTTCAAAGAAAGGCTGTTGTTTTTGCAATTGATTTTATTTAAACTCTTTTCTGAAACAACTAAGTGAGTGCTTCTCAAACGACACGAATGAGACAGTGCGTCTCGTCCGGTCGGAGTATGTGCAATGTATCAGTCTTTTGAATCGATCAAGGTTGGCACCCGGCCAACAACTTTCAAATGGCCACCCGGGCCTGGCTGATCCCATCAGCCGCAGATTTTCCAAACATCAGTCCCAAACCACATCCGCAAATTTCACAAAGCAGTAGTCAAACAAAACTACGCTAGGAATCACCTCACATCCGCCCATGACCGTGGGCACGGCTGTTCGAACAGTTTAATAACCTCTGTAGAGGAGGTACACTTTACCCACACGACATTACTAACCCGGATCATCCAGCCCGTGCAGAACGGCCACAACTAGAGACCTTAAGGCTTTCATGACAAGGCATTTCGAAAGCCGACACAGGTTCACCATATGCCAACGAGAGGGGTCCCAGACCAACAACAGATTAGATCCCAGACCATACTGTGCCAGGAAGCCCAGGGATCCTCCCCGACACCACCCCGGCGAATCCACATGTCTCTTAGCATCATGGCTCCCCCGATAAGCTAGTTACTCAGCCAGGGGTGTCCCATTCCACCCATGTGGTCGTACTTGTCTTATGTTCGGATGAAATTCCAAGGAAACGGTCCTTAAGTGCAAGAGCGGGAAACCGTACACCCGGTACGTTCCCCGGTCCGCGATTTTGGAAATTCATTTAGGTTCGCAAGCACCGACCCAGGTGTCGGGTTTTCCAAGTCTTTTATAAAACCCAAGTTTTACCCAAGATGTTTCTCAGATTTTAAGTTTGAAGGCGACCGTCGATACTCGTACAGAGTGCACGATTACCGAGGCGCAACTAGGTGGTTACAAGGGAACATGATATAACAATTACAATGGAAGGGTCAAATGCAACAAGTTAGGTAGGTCCGTCAATCTGCCTTGCAGACGGGACAAGCAGATTAAGTGCAATCCTATCAATGCATAATATTTTTCAAGCAATATAATTAAGTTCAAATATAGGCTCAAGATGTTCAAAGGTGGCTTGCCTCGCTCGAGATCTTGAGCTTGATCCTCGAAATCCTCGCACTGCGTGTCTTCGGGCTCCGAAACTACACGCGAAACGGGACAACTCAGCAAACGGCGAAAAATAAAGCCCTATTATTGACCTCTAAGCATGCCATTAGATAGATCTCGAGATTTGAGGAATTTTGGAAGTTGAACGGAGTCAAACGGACTTACGGTTGGGAAGATATTGAATTTCTCAGATTATTGGATTTTTGGTCTAAAGGAAAATCCTTTTCGAAAAAGAAAAGAAAAGAAAAGAAGGAGGGAGGGAAATTAGACTTCCCTCGGGCGGCTAGGGCGTGGCCCGAGAGAATGGGGCGGCTCGGCCGAGCTTAATGGGCCGGCCGGCCCAAGAAGGCGGCCCAAGGCGTGCGCGCGAGCGAGGAGGGGAGAGAGAGAGCCGGTGGGCCGGGTCCATCCCGCGTGGTCCCGGGTGGGACCCGCTTGTCGGCGACTCGGCTCACTGTGAGCGAGGTGCACGCGGGGCGTGCTAGGGTTTGGGGAGGGAGGCGCGGCACATGCGCGCGGTTCGCGGAGTACGCGGTGCGGCGGGCCCACGCGCAGCCTCACTGCTCACCGCGGACCATGCGCACGGGGGGAAAACGGAGGGAGCGGCTGGCCGGGTCAGCCGATCCGGTCGCGGCCGAGGTGGCGCCGACGTGGCGCCTACGTGGCTACCACGCGGGCCGGCGGGAGGTAGACGACGATGCCGGCCGGAACGGACGGCGGACGACAGCGGCGAGCGGCGGAGCGAACCATGGCGATACAGGCGAAGGCGAGCACACCGGGATGGTGCACAGGACGAGGAGAGATGAGCCAATGGCTCGGATTCACCGGGGGATGCTCGACGGCGGCGGATTGCGGCGGCGGCAACTGACGGCGGGAGAAGGGGGAAACGGCGATGAGGTCATGAGGGGCCGATTCCCGGCGGTGAGAGCATCTACGTGGCTACGGGAATCCGTTGCTAGCGTCGGATTGGGCGGAGCTACGCCGAGCAAGGCCGGCGACGAGCGGGCGCTACGGAGCACGGGCGGCGACGGCGGCGAGCACACAGCGAGTGGCGGCAACGGTCGGGGCGGCGCCAGCTAGCTACGGGAAGGCTACACATGCTACTACCGAAAACTAAGGGGAGGAGATGGATCGAGGAGGGAGAACGGGGAGTGCACTACCGAGATGAGGCGGGGCGCTGTGACGAGAGGCCGACGGCACGGGAGTGATCTCTCCGGCCTCGGGCCGGGGAAGAGGAAGAAGGCAAGCGCCCGGAGTCCCCTTCCGTGTCCTCGCTCGTGCCGGCTCCTCCGACACGTGCGACGGCGAACGGCGACAGCGAACAGAGCACGGGAGGCGGCGACAATGGAGTGGAGGCGAATGGGAGAGGAAAGGAAAGGGGGGGAAAGCTTGGGTTTATATGGGCGACAATGTCGGTTTGGGAGAGGGGAACCGACTTTGGACGGTCAAGCCAGCGAGTTGGCGCTCCGGCTAGCAGCCAAATCGGCGACAGGGAGGAGGAGAATGACGCCGGCGGAGGAAGAAAAAGGAAAAGGAAGGAAGAAAGGGGACTTGCCCCTTGCCACTTTGGGAAAAGGAGGAGGGGATGGGGGCGACGCGGCAGAGGGAGGAGGAGCTCTGCCTCCGTCCCTTGGAGGCTAGCGTGCGGAGTGGCGGGGGCCGGGTCGATGACGACGGCGATGACGGCGGGGCGGTGTGGAGCGGAGCGGCGACACGGACGGCAGGCGTGGGCAGGTGCGGCAGAGGCTGACGGCGGCGGCGACCAGGCGGTCGGCCACCACGGCACGCGCGCGCGGGAAGCAACGGGCGGCGCGGCGATTTGGGCGGCATCGGCGGGAACGGCAGGAGGGCTCGGCGCGGCTCACGGGCAGAGCGGGGAGAGAGAGAGAGAGAGAGCCGGGGAGGGAGGGGGAGATGGGCCGAGAGGGATTCGGCCCATCGAACCCGAGGGAGGCAAAATAGACTTTTGCGGAGGGATTTGATTTGGGAAGGATTTGGATTCGGGATTGAACTTGACGATAGATCAGGGATTTGAGATCTGAGATAGCACGGACACTAGACAACAAGCAAAGAAACGGATTTCGCAAATAGGGTTTTTAAGAGATAGTTTTCCCGCTAGGCGCTACGACGGAACGGGCGCTACAAATACTATTTTTAAAAACCAGCACTAATACTTACGATGGTAAGCATGTTCCCAAGTACTAAAAAAAGTCATGGAAAAATCACAGCTTAATTCAGTGGCAAGATTATCTTAGCCATATGAAAATTAGCTTATCTGATTAAGATGCTTTGTTGCATGGATGCCATTTTTCTAGGAAAAAGAAAACTGAAAAGAAGATCTATGGCATCCTTGCATACGTTATAAATAAATAAATAAACAAAATGATAAAATTTGATGAATTGTGCCAGGCTGCCAGATCGTCCAACTGGTGTGTTTCCAAGCAAAAACAGATATACAGTGACGTACAAAATATCATCAAATTTGTTGTGTCACACTTCAGGCAGCTTAACTGAACTCATCAAGTTTAAGGCCCATTTGGGACCTGCTTCATACGGAAATCGAACTGTTTCCTGCTCAGATTTGGGCGTTCTGGAACGGGGACAAAGAGAAGCTGAGATTTCAAAATGAATCAAACAAATTCAGATCAGTTTTTGTTGTTTGTGTGTGTTTACATGCTCTGCTTTGAGGCTCATGAATCATGATCTCTCTCTATGTACAGTGTGAAAAAAACAGAACAAAAAAAAAAGGGGTTTTTTCTTTTTTGTGTGTGTTTGATTTGAGATATCTCTATGATGGTTGATCTATCTATACAGAATCAAATCAAAGAAGAAAAAATAAATTCGACCATAAAACCCTCGAATAAAATGTCGAAGAGGATTAGTGGTCTGTTAATCTTGATTAGCCGTCTTGACAGTGGTGGGTTAAGACTCTGTCAGATTAGCCCGAGCGTCTGCACCAAGCCGCCCATCTGTATCATCGCCGCGTCGTGCCACGGCAATGCGCCGCCGCCGCGCCGCCGACCCACGAAGTCCATCACCTTGGCGAGCACGCCGCCGGCGTCGGCGGCGGCGGCGGCGGGCTGCTTCTTGTCGGCGCCACGGAGGAGGGAGATGTAGGTGGCGAGGTCGTGGACGGAGGCGAGGTCGCCGACCTTGAAGAAGTCGAGGGGGAGCTCGACGCCGACGTGGGTGTAGCAGGAGTGGCGCCACGGGCGGAGCACGCCGGCGGTGGCCTCGTTGAGGAAGACGCCGGGGAGCTTGGTGATCGGGTCGTGTACGTTGGTGACGCGGAGCGCCTTGACGCCGAGCTCGTCGCAGCGCGCCTTGAACGCCGCGTTCCCCACCCTCGGCCCGCCGAAGGAGAAGACGGTGACCGGGGCGGCGCGGTTGAGGCCGAGCTCGGCGAGGTCGTAGGCGGAGAGGAGCGCCAGCGCGCTGCCCATGCTGTGGCCGGCGAGCGTGACGCTGACGTCCTCGCCGCCGCCGGAGTAGGCGGCGACGAGGCGGGACACCTCGCGGAGGAGCTGCTCCCGGCAGCTCCCGGCGCCGCCGAAGCGGCACGTCTTGTCGGCGGAGGTGTAGAGGCTGAGGAACCCGGACTCCACCTTGACGTCGGGGCGCGGGTCGCACGGGTCGAGCCGCGCCGCCTCCAGCGAGCTCATGAGGTTGGCCATCCACTCGGCGGGGGTGACCGTGCCCCGGAACGAGACGAGCACGTCGCGCCGCCCGAGCCGCCGCGACATCTCGTCGGTGGACACCGCGACGTACCCGATCCACCGCCCGCGCCCGCTCGTCGACGGCTCCATGGTCGGCACGCTGACGTCCGCCGCCGCGTAGATGTAGCGGGTGACCTCGTACCCGGCGCCGCCCATCCCGACCTCCTCCAGCATCCTCTCCCTCCCGTACTTGCAGTTGAGGTACCTCCGCGACGCCGGGTCCAGGTCGAACGCCTTGTAGCACGCGCCCACCAGCTCGCCGTACCGCGCCACCTCCCCCCTCAGCACCGGGTGCGGCGCCGGCTCCAGCATCCCCTCCCAATCCCCGCACCCCTGCACCTCCCTCCACATCCCCGCCACCGTCTCCGCCGTCTTCCTCGCCGCCCCTCGCCTCGCCACCGGCGCCACCACCGCATCCCTCACCGCCACCGCCCCACCCGCCGCCGCCACCGCCCTGCACCGCACCACGCCGCCGCCGCCGCCGCCTGTCCTACACGCCGCCGCGCATTGCCTCGGGAGCGTCATTGCCGCCGCGCTGCTCGTGCCAGCAACCAAGGCCATGAGCCGCGCAGACCATAGACGAGGGGAGGAGACGCGAGGAGGAAGAAGACGAATGATGCATGGGGCGCGCGGGAGAGCGGCATATAAAGGGCGCGAAAGAGAGAGAGAGCTTGTGGTGACTTGCACGCATGTCCCAATCTCGCGCCAAGTTAGCCTCGCTCTTCTACCTACAGTAGAGTGACCCGAGCTGTGAGATTTTCTATCTGGGATTCTGGCGCGAAGCTGCTGCAGCCGCGCGCTTTTCGCAATAATATCCACCACTTGACTTTTGAAACCTCTCTCTCTCTCTCTCTCTCTCTCTCTCTCAATTCCTCGCCATGTTGCCGGGTCGGAAGAGAAAGCTTTGAAAAGCAGGTTAAGTTAGTGAGGGAGATTAAGAGTAAGCAAATTGCTAATTAGGAGTGGTACTGTTTCAATTAAGAATTCTTTTGGGTGTCTCTGTCTCAATCTAACCTTTTTGTGTGTCTCTCTGACTGAAAGTTTGGCAGGGTGATTGACCAGAGGATGACCTTTTTTTTTTGTTGTTGTTCTGAAGATATGGAGATGTGTGTGTTTTTCTTTTAAATTATTGTTCAGAGTTACTACTGCTTCATTAGCACAATTTCTTTATGACTGGGGTTTGGTTGGGGTTGGTTGGTGAAGAAGAAGAAGATGAAGATGATGATGTGATTCGATTCTCGGAGAGATTGGAAGGTCAAAATCACCATCTCAATTCTTGGAGAGACTTTGGAACAAGAGACCAGGAGGAAAGGAATCTTGAGATTGGTTGGATCCTCGGGTTTCTGAAGAGGGAGCAGGGAAAAAGGCAGGGAAGCAGAGCAGGAACATTCAGACAAAAAAGAAAAAGAAAAAAGAGATCATCTTTTAGTAGTACAAAAATCATTCAGAAAAAAGCTGTTATGATCACTGCTGGATTTTATTCTTGGATTAACTAGCTTGCTTGATTGCAGATTTTACAGGTCAACATTCAGAAAGAAAAAAAAGAAGCAGAGCAGGAACATTCAGAAAACAAAAAAAAAGATATCATCTTTACTGCAGAAAATCACTCAGAGAAGCTGTTATGATCAAGTGCTGGATTTTGCCTTTGGATTAACTTGCTTTGATTGATTGAAGATTATGCAGGTCAACCATGGCTAGATATTAAGGCGTTAACTGTAAGGCTCTGCAGGACTGAAACTCAACAAACTTCAGGTCTGCTTACAATAATTATTAACATCACGTTGACTGCAAGCTTGTTGACAATTTCAGATGATAAAGAGGCTTATCATTCATTTGCACCCTAGATGTGTACCTCTAAAGTACCACCCTCCTATTTAGGATGATGCTAACACCTAACACCCACCCTGATGCATCACAACTTGACTTTTTTTGTCCTCATGATTTTTTTATTGACAATAAGAACCCAAAAATCCATAGCAAAAACAATCCATTCATCAAACATTAATATATAAAATCGGGGTACTCGATCGCATATCCCATTCCGAAGACTAAACACACCCGAACTATTTATTTCTAAAAGAGAGAGAGAAAAAATAATCTCTACCTTTTCGCGGAACTATTTACGACGACGTGGCGTCTCCCTGGATCATCATCAATGGCTAAAGCTAAGCATTTTTCTAATGCAAAAAAAAACATACACATACATGTCCCCCCATTTTCCCTTTGCTTTCATGATTTAATTGGACCTGTACACACACACATACATACATTATATTACACTCTTCTGTACGCTCTGCCACTACATTCCCGAGGCATCTAGATACATGGGCAGAGACTCTCAAGTATTTTTGATAGAATATTTTAGATGGGATTTGATAAGCCGAATTCAATATTTGGACATTGATAAGCTACCTAGCTGAAGCTGAAGCTGAAGAGGAGGCAATGCCCATGACTTATTGACATATGCGATGGCGTGGGATAATTACGGCGAAAAGCGGCGAGATCCGCGGGAGATCTCGGTCGTTCGTGTGCAATGAAGTCGCCGGTTGGGAGGAGGAAGGAGGAGGGACGCGGCCGCGGCGTCGCGCGCGACGCCGCGGCGCGGCGAGGGGCGGGGCGTGGGCGACGTGGGCGAACGGAGGCCACGCCGCGGGGCGCGCGGCGCGGCGCGGCGCGACGTGGCCGGCGGCCGCGCGCGGTTGCGGTTGCTTTGAGGATTTAATTGGGTGGGGAAGGGGTGGTCGTGGAAGGATCGCGGCCGTCGGCGTCAACCGCGTGGATGGATGGATGGATGGATGGATGGACGTGTAGCGACCCTTGATGCTGGCCGTTTTGGGGGTGGGGGTGGGGGTGGTCAACGACCGACCTCAGTGTCAGTGTCACTGTGTTTTTCTGCCATTTAATTAGGAGATGCCTTGATCATTCCAAAAGTCCACATTTTCTTTTATTCCTTTTATTCAAGCCTTTTTTTTTGGGGGGAGGGGGGGGGGAAGTGTTGGGTTTTTTTTTCTTTAAGATAATTCTTCAAGTTGGTGCTGCATATTTGCGTGCAAATGTATTCGTGCGTATGTAAATGTACCATATCCATCTCATTAAAAAACTCAATCATAGATACGAATCTGGACACATGTTTCATAGTGAGGATTGACTTTTTTTTTATTGTATTTTTTTACAATGTTCCATTTGACCTTCCCAATCCATCTTGAGCAAATCTTAGCCGTGGATTATTTGATGTTTATTTTTCGTAAAAATATATTAATTCTTTTCATTAGCAAATCATAGAAAAGAGGCAAGTAGCTACATATACATCTAATCAGAAAATTCTCTTTGCCAAGTGTTTTATGTTCTATATCCTTACGACATACAATATCACCTGTAACGTCTGAATTATCTGAACCGATCCTTTTCTTTATGTCATACGAAAAACAGACACACCATCACACACGTACGCGGGGAGCAGAAAAGCTTCCCCGCGGGGGAATTATTGGTCATGGTTGTGGCTGATCGAGCTATCTGTAGCTTAAGTAGCTATAGCTTAGGGTTGACAAGATATAACATTAGCCATTAAAATCCGAAAACGAAAGGAGAAAAGAAAATATAAAATAGGGGCATGCATGAAGAGAGAGGCCCTTTGACCCTGCGTTGAACACTGTTACGGTGGATGCATCCGTGCGGTTGGAGAGATCTCGCCGCAGTGGTTGCGCCGTTGCCGTCAGTCATAACGCCGTTGACATCTTCTCCCTCTTCTCCTTCTTCCTCTTCTGTACAGTGGTACGGTCACAAGTGAACATTCCGTGCACTGATCATTGAAAGCTGCATCTTTGCAGATTAAATAATTATATAAAACATAGGGGCCTATAGGGAGCTACTCACTCCCATTTTAAATATACTAACTTTTAATCATAATGTTTGACTATTAGGTTTTTTCTAAAAAGAACAGTATAAATAGGCTTAAAAAGGATTATAATAACAGAAACCGTCATAACATAATAGATAATAATTATATCGATTTTCTAATAAAAATATAATAATAAAGTATCAATAATATCGTATATTTAAAAACAAAGATAGTAGTACTTCCTTCGTTTCATATTATAAGGTTTTCTAGCATTGTCCATATTCATATAAATGTTAATATCTATATGTGTCTAGATTCATTAACATCTATATAAATGTGAGCAATGCTAGAAAATAAAATAGAGGAAGTAGTACTTTTGCTACTATCACAAGCTAGGGAGGAGGGACCCAACTGACCAAACTGGGAGCATGTGGCCTCCTCTCTCTCCACTGAAACTAAACGAACTCTGGTTGATTAATTAATTCATCTGGGTACCATGTGTGTAGGCGTGGCACCACTAATCTCCTTGATTAGTTGATTAATTAATTGATTATTAAGCAACCGTACGTGTATCTCTCTATATATGATCATTGTCTTGGTTGTTTGGTAATTAATCCTCCTTTGCTTGTTCAGCTGCACCTCTTTCTACCTAGCTAGCTGCTTCTTTTTGGTGAAAAAGACGTACTTTTTTAGCTTCTGGGGATATGTAACAGAAGAGAGAATTGCATGCCTTCAAGAAACTACCTTAATTAGGTAAAAAAAATATCTCTTCTCTGGAGTATTAATTAATTACTGCAAATTACTCCATCCATTATTTTCTAATATTTCATAACATAACACACACACACACACACACACACACACACACACACACACACACATATATATATATATATATATATATATATATATATAGTATGTAATTAACTAGCATCTCCTCGTCCTCCAAATTCGTATTTTAATCCTCCACTAATCTCATTGGTTGCATGTATTTTTAATGGGGTGATTTAAATTATAGGAGACGATAATAATTCTTTCTTGATCTTTGATTTAGTGGTTGTATCGTACTCCTTCCATCCCTAAATGTTTGACGCCGTTGTCTTTTTTAAACATGTTTGACCGTTTGTCTTATTCAAAAAATTTAAGTAATTATTTTTTTCCTATCATTTAATTCATTGTTAAATATACTTTTATGTATACATATAGTTTTACATATTTCACAAAAGTTTTTGAATAAGACGAACGGTCAAACATGTTTAGAAAAGTTAACGGCGTTAAACATTTAGGGAATGAGGGAGTATAATTAGTACCAAAGGGACAGTTTTCTGACGCAAAAAATTAATTAGCTAGCCACAATATGTAAAGAAAATTAACCCTCAGATGTATACATTTTAACAGATAAAAAAAATATACAAGAAATTAACAGGCGACAAATTTAGTGATCATTGACTCGATATAGTTAACTTGCATATATATCAACTTGCAGACAACACAAAGCCTTCATGAATAATTTGTACGAATACAGTTAATACAGAGAGAGGCGAGATTTTTTGGGCATCTTTTCTTTTCAATAATAGATAAAATTAAGGTATTTCGAGTTAATATGGATCGAGTAGCCATCGACGATATCTCTCTGTTCTCACCTGATGTTCCTGCCAGCCAGACGCAATAATACATCAATTAATTCGGTGAGATCGATCGATCGATGTGCAGGTTTCGCTAGCTCCGATCGACGACCAAATTATTAGTGTAAGAAATCAACTAATTAATTAAACAAATTGCGCGTGCGTGCGTGGCAAAGAGAAAAAAATGGAAGGTACGCTACGTTCGTCGTCAATTTAATTATTTAATCGTGGGAGATGGGTTGTGTGTGTATCTTGAGCTAGATTAATTAGCTAAAATAGCTTAGCTTAACGCTGATGAGT